GGTACGAGCCAGCTTGCGGCATTCCTCGTCCGGGTCCCCCTCCCCCGTCGCTGCCGTCCATTCCATCATCGCCCGCAATGCTTTTCCTCCCTCCTGCCCTCCCCCCCTCCCTTCTCCGACGAACCACTCCATGTTCATAAAGGTCATGGCGCAGGCAACGGCCAACAAAACCGCCCGACGGAGTTCCGGGAAACGGCTGGTGCGTAATGGCCAGGCGACCGTTAGCAGGGCCTCGGCCAGTTGGGGGGTGCCGGGATTAAAGGGTCCGGCGCAGTCGACAAAGGTGGCGAGCGCATGGATGGTCTGGGAGAGGGCGAGGGCCTGGTCCGAGTCCCGGGCCCACAAGGTGGGGCAGGGGGAGGAGGGAGGGAGGGTGGAGGACGGGGAAAGCGGAGGGAGGATGTGGAGGGCAATGGAAGGAGGGCGAGACGGGGGGGAGGTGGAGGGGGAGGCGACGCTCAGGAAGGAGGAAGGGGGCGAGGTCGGGCCTGAGGAAGGGCGGGGTGAGCAGGACTCGATCATCGCCGCCAGTAGAGGTTCAAAAAACGCAGGGGCGGCCACGGGGGCGAACCGGTTCCGAATCATGCGGGGGGCGGACGCCGGCGGTAGCCCCACCGACGGGTCAGATCCGAGGTCCCCCCCACCTCCTCCGCTTTGTCCGGGCGGGGATTTGGGGCAGGCTCTACGGCTGTCGCAGGGTCTCCTTGGGGCAACAGCGTTTCTTGGCGGCTACTTGAGGTCAAGACCTGCCCTGACGCGGACACCAGCCGCCGTTTTCCTTGCGTGCGGGGCCTGGTGCCCGCCCTCTCTTCTCCCCTCGCACCCTCCTCCCCGCCCTCCTTCCCGCCCTCCTTCCCAACCTCCTTCCCGCCCTCCTTCCCGCCCTCCTTCCCGCCCTCCTTCCCACCCTCCTTCCCGCCCTCCTTCCCGCCCAGTTCCCTAGCTCCTCGCACCATCAAATCCAACGCCTCCAATCGCGTCCCGAAAGCCATGTTCCCGTCGTAGGCCAAAACCGCTAAGGCCGGAGCCACTTCCCCGGGGGAGCTGGCCACCAAGGCAACCAAGGCTTCGCGTTTCAAATGTTCAAAATTTTCGAAATTGAAACGGTTTTCCAACGTCAGGAGCTCCCGGGCCAAGTTCCTGCCTAGGTCGGGCAGGTCCACCGGGAGTCGTCGGATCAAGGCGGCAGCTTCCGTCAAAGCGGCGCGCACTTTCTCCGGAGCGCCCTCCTCGTCCCGAAGGCGCAAGGCATCCAAGAGGCGCCGTAAGTACCGAGGGGGCGGAGCGGCCGCCAGGTCGGCTTCGTCGTCGGATAAATCCAACGGCTCGTACCACGGGGCTCCCTCCTCCTCCTCCTCTTCCTCCTTCCTCCTTACCTCCTCGCCCCCCCCTTCTTCCACCCCCGACGGCCCCCTTTCCGATCTCTCTTCGCTTCCATCGATCCGGACCTCCCCCTCCTCCTCCCCCTCCCCCTCCCCCTCCCTCTTCCCGTCCAACTCTTCAAACTTCAAGTCCTGGCCCATGAGGACGGCGAAGGCCTCTGCCACCCGCATCCCCTGCTCCCGGACCAAGGCCAAAGCCGAGCCCAAATGTGCGCTTACGCCTTCCACCAGGGCCGGCATCAGACCCGCTTCCCCTTCCAGGGCCGCGCGTCCGCTGAGGGCGTCGGAGGGAGTGACCGGGGGTCGGTGGAGGAGGTGGAGGGCGCGAAGGAGGGCGTGGGTGACGAGTTCTTGGCGGGACAGATCGGAACGGAGGATGAAGCGCCGCTCTTGCCAGAGGGTGGCGAGGGGAAGGAGGAGGCGGGAGGGGAGGAGGGAGGGGGGGAGGGAGGAGGCGAGAAGGTCCGTGAGGAGGAGGGCGGTGGTGCGGGGGTGGAGGAGGAGAGGGGAGAAGGGAGGAAGGGAGGGGCAGAGGAGGACCTTGTCGAGGAGGATCGTCCTCAGGGCCGGCGCAACGGGGGAGGAGGGGAGGAGGGAGGGAAGGAGGCAGTGGAGGACGCCTTGTGCGTGGGGCAGGGAGACGGAGAAGGAAGAAGGGGTAGGAGGGAAGAGGAGGACAACCAGACGTCGGAGAAGGGCGAGGATGAAGGGCTCGAGGGCGGGGAGAGGGATAGATTCGACGAGGAGGGAGGGGGAGGGGGAGGGGAAGGGGGAGGAAAGCCCCAGGTCGAGCCACCGGGAGGCAGGGAGGTCGGCTTGGCCCGTCTTACAGGCTTTGAGCACCAAGCAGCCCCAAAGGAGAAGCAGGGAGGGAGGGAGGGAAGAAGGGGGGAGGCGAGGAAGCGAGTGAGGAGGCGGTCGGTAAAGGCGGTGTAGAGGGCTGGGAGGTTGAAGAGAGGGGGGAGGGCGCCCTGGAGCCGGTTGGCGAGCCGGACGGGAAGGAGGGAGAGGGACTGGAGGACGCGATCGATGGCGGAGCGGGCGCTGGCCTCGGAGCTTGGGCCGAGAGATTGCTGGCAGAGCTCATCTACCATGCGAGTGAAGCCGTCGGCGGGGGGAGGGGCGAGGAAGCTTTCGAGGGCGCGCAGGAGGAAGGTGCCGGAGGGCGTTGATGAGGAGGGAAGGGCGGGTCGGGCATGGGATGAGACGCGCGGTTGTGGATCGATTGTGGACGTGGAGATGGGACGGGAGGGAGGGGAGGAGAATGCCTCCGAGAGCGCGACGAAGAGGCACCAGCTGGGGAGGTTGGGAGGCGAAGTGCCCGCTTGTCCTGGCTTCAGAAAGTGCTCTAGGACCTGCACGGTCTCCGGAAATCCACACAGGTCCGCTTCGTGTCTTTCCTGCCGATCATGTTCGGGCCCAGCAGTATCGTGGCTGTCGAGGAGACGGGGCAAAATGTCGCGGAAGAGAAATAGGAGGAAACTAATGATACTTTGAGGCGGTGTTGCGGGAGAGGCCAACGTGACTTCAGCCTGGGTCAATGCCTCCGCAATCGTCGCTTGAAAGGGAGGAGAAGAGGCCGATGATGCGAGTGGGGTGCACTTCGTGGAGTTTGTGGATGGAGAGGAGCAGGAAAGTCGGTCGAGGGAGGCGATCAGGTCCGGCAAGGCAGGGCTTGCAGGAGCCGGGGGGCTGGCGGGCTTCATGCCAGAAGTTTTTTGGGGAAGGACGTGAACGAATACGCCACTTTCAAGTCAACAGTTACGTTTCTATTGAGTGTCCATGTGGAGTTTCGGCGACAAGGGGCTGGCATGTATTTATTGTGCCTGATGCTATCAGGGAGGGGTGGATGGGGAGTGAAGAAGTAAATATTGGCGCATGTACGCAATTTTTCAGGTCAACACACTTTTCTTGGCCGGTCAGGATCACTTCCCCACAATTATACGATGATATTTGCAAGGTACCGTGCGAAACGCTGTTTTCGCGGATGGATTACGTCAACGAAGTGTTCTTTTGTGCGAGGTGTGCCGAGATGGAACATGCTGACCTGCATCGCCGCAGCCTCTCCCTCCAAATCCCTGGGAAACCAAGTCCTATGCGCTTTCCATTCTACCTGCCGCCAGGGCATATGCTTCACGGTCTCAGCCTCGTACTGATGTGCATGAATTGCGACTGTACACTCTATGGTGGCTGTGACGTGAATTTCTGAAGGTCCATCGCCCATTCCCACCGCCCTCGTGCCGTCACCTCGGCTTCAACGTTCGCAGCATGGTCGAGATAATGCCTGACCTTTTTTTCACCCATTCACGCAAAATATGCCACTTTAACACGCCCTCTATGTACCAATTATATTCAGGTGAGAGCCCTGCCAAGTTGGTTGCCGGGAAGGCACCTTCTTGAGCCAAAATGAGGAGCGGCATCTCTCTGATTCGCTCTACCTCCTGCTCCTGCCTCTTCTTCGCCGCCCTGCTCCTCGTGCACTGTTTAAAAACCACAACAGCGAAAAAGTTCGTGTCAGAAAATTCTCCGGATACATATGACTATATTGTGGTGGGAGCGGGTGCATGCGGAGCTGTTGTGGCCACGCGACTCGCTGGTGTGTGGTACAAAGAGGGGCGAGTGTGGTGAAATGTGATGGAGATCTACTGGATGTATCATATCTCTTTCACCCCTGGCCTCGAATTACCACGCTCATCCGTGCAGGCTCGATCATGCTTGTCGGCCTTTGACTCACTGCACGCAACCTTTCTCCTCTTCTCCATTGCCAGAACGGGGCGAGCGAGTCCTCCTGATCGAGACCGGGGAGGACGAACACCTGAACCCCCTTACGCGCTGGGGGTACTTTTTCCCCTCAGGCTCCTATTCCCACCTGTATCGGAATTATTTCACGGAACCGGAGCCAAGAGTGAACAATCGCAGGCTTTACCACCAGGCTGCCAAAGCCTTGGGAGGAGGAACGGCGGTGAACGCCATGGGTAAGTGGAAGGCGCTCGCCAAGGATGAGGGGATGGAGGAGAGGGAAGGGAAAAGAATTCGCCACGTGCGCATAGGACAGATACGTCCACTTTAATCCGCACCATGCTGACGCGACCGACACCCTGCAGCCTCACACCGTAGCTCCCTCGCTCATCCTCTCAACCTCTTTCCCCCAGTATGGACGTGGGGGGACCGTCAGGACTGGGAGCTCATCGACTTGGAGGGCTGGTCCTTCGAGGACGTCTATCCCTATTTCCTCAAGTCTGAAAACTACACGGGGGCGTCCTCCGCCTACCGCCACGCCGTGGCCCGGGGGCACGCCGGTCCCATAACCCTGACCAGCTTTCCCGCCAACGAGGCCACCCTAACGGCCGTCTCCACGGCGGCAGAGACCTTCAACGTTCCTCCCGAAGTAGACAACAATGGTGGTGTGCACGAAAGCGTGGCGGTCGTGCAACGGGATTTCCAGGGGCCCACCATCGACACGGGCGTGCGGATGGGCGCCTTCATGGCCTACCTGCGTCCTGCCATGGCCTCTCTCCCCCCCGAGCGCCTCCGAGTCTTGACACGCGCAACGGTCTTGCAGGTGCTGGTAGAACCCTCAGAGGAGACGGGGAGGGAGGGAGGGCTGGAGGCGGTGGGCGTGCGCTTCCTCCACGACGGGGTCTGCGGGGAGGCCTATGCGAAGAGGGAGGTGGTCCTGGCCGCCGGGGCCTACAACACGCCTAAGCTCTTGCTCTTGTCCGGGATCGGAGATCCAGGCCATTTGGAGGAGATCGGGATCGAGTGCGTCCTGAGCCTCCCTGGGGTGGGGAAACGCCTGGTTGACCACATCAACCCGGGCTCCCTCATGTTCACCGGCCCCCCCCGCAAGGATTACGACGCCAACATCGTGGCGACCTACACGCGGACGGGCATCGTGCCGGACCTGACGCCAGACGTGGAGTTGGGATTCATCATGGGCCCACCGGTGGAGGAGCCAGCGCATTGGGACAAGGTCCCCTCCCTTTACGTCTTCTACGCGCTCTGGCTCTTGCACGACGGCGTGGGCTCGGTCCGTTTGAAAAATCGAGACCCCTTGGAGGACCCGGTCATCGTCTCCGGGTATTTGAAGACCGCCACGGACTTGAAGAGGCTGGTGCGGATTTTTCGTATGCTCATTGAGTGGTCTCAGACTTTTGCGCGTTCGTCGGGGTTGAAACTGGAGCAGCAGCGATCGGGGGGGAACGCTATTTTTGTTACAGAAGACAGCAGTGACGAGGAGATTCTCAAAGCGGCGCGCATGGTCCTATCCACACACTGGCACGCCGCTCAGTCCTGCAGAATGGGAAACCCCGAGCACGACCCGGATGCGGTGGTGGACCCGGAGTTCAAGGTGGTGGGGATGGAGAAGCTAAGGGTAGTGGACGCCTCCTCCCAGCCCGTCCTGACTAACGGACACCCAATGGCAGCTTTGGTGATGATGGCCGAGCGGGCAGTCGATTTTATGTTGGGGAAGGCAAAGGAAAGATAGCAAGACGAAAATGGTGAGCGAAACGATGTGCTCGGGGAGACGGGTGTGGCGGAGGATGTCTGCACTTTTTGGCTACGTGCATTGGGAGAATGAGGGAGGCGACGGGGCAAAGTCACCTTGTTGAAAAGAAAGGGAGCGTTGTGTAGAAGATGCGGAACGGAGTGGAACCGGAGGAAACATGGGCGGAGGACAAGCACCACGCGTGGGGTCGCACAGACTGGCGCCAGATTTAACATACATGTGCGTGTGCGGACATAGCACGGCGTGATGCCGAATAGAACGATCTGGGAGCGAAAAAGAGACTCAAGGCGATAGGCTGCTACTTGATTTTTCATCTCCCTCCAGCCGAGCCCGATATCAGGCTCACTCAATGCCATGCGTTCTTTCTAAATCCATTCCCTTCTTACGGTCCTTCGTACATGACTGTCACTCTTTCCCCTCGACGGTCAGCGTCCTTTCCTCACTTGACTCAATATGGAAACCAAATCAACGTCGCCGCATACACTTTCCCCCTCTCCCCTTCCTTCATGCTTATCTCACGGATATCATGTCCACCCACATATTCCTTTTCAGCTATATATCCCTTTCCTGTCCAACCAAGCTTGAAAGCGTGACCTGTCATGATCCTTTTTTCTTTCGCCGTCTGAGGGGTGCACTTCTCGAGAGAAACAACTGCCTCACTCAGAGTGCACTGCCATAAAAAGGACCGACCTCCTGACCGACAATTCCTTGCTAGCCTCATCATGTTTCCATGTCGGTCACCTGCTGCGAACTTGGCTGAGTCTGCTGCGGCTCATAAGGTACCTCATCTTGCTTCGGGGACAATGCCCCTTGATGGTGCTGTGGCTCTTGCTGGTGCTTCTCCTGCTCCATGGCGGCTGGATCTTCCTCTTTGGGCGGAGCTGTGGTCGCTTGGGCAGCTGCCGTCTTCTTGGGGATGTGGTACTCCTCTTCGCCGCCTCCTCCACCTGCCCCTGAATCCACTCGCGCCGTTTGCGAGTGAGACGGGCCTTGGCCACTCGAACGCACCGACGAAGTGGTCGAAGGGTTCGTAGACGCCTCGGGGGCCGCCGTGGCTTTCTTCTTCTCTTCTTGGGCCAAGAGAGTCTGGTAGAGATTCATTTCCCGGTCGTACCGAGCCTCCTCCTCGCGCGCCCGCGCCGTATACTTATCCTTGACGTGAGGTGCTTCCCCTCTCCACAAGGCCTTGATTCGACTCTTGATATTCTCGTTCGTGGCTGCAGCCCCCAGCTCCCGTTTCACTTGCTCTTTGTGGTCGACAAGGTACAGCGTGACGGCGTTCCTGGCCTTCTTAGGCTCTCGCAGCTCCCCCCCCTCCCCCCCCTCCCCTGCCCCTTCCCTCTTCCGCTTTTTTTCCCCCTTGGGCGTCACTCGCCCTTTGACCAAGTGGGTAAAATCGTCCCTCAGGTGCCAAATGGGTCTCGCGTCCTCCTCCCGCCGTTCCTTGACCGCAATCTCGTTTATCTTCATCTCGATCTGTCGCTTGCTCACTCCATCCTTGGCATACTTTCCGTGGAACTCAGCGACAATCTTGGTGACCCCGTCCGCCCCCGCCCGCACGACCATCATGGCTAGCTCCGGCACCAACTCCTCAGGAACCGTCTTGGGCGCGGTGCCTTTCCCTCCACCGACCCCTCCCCCTCCTCCAAGTGAAGCAGACGACCCGATTCCGTCCAGCGCAAGGCCACCGTTTGAGCTCACCTTGAGGCCTTTCAGGAGCTGTAGGCGCATTTCCGCGGCTTTTTTGGCGTCGGCAAATTCCTGTGGGGGAAAAGGAAGAAAAGGAAATATTAAGAGGGGGGGTAGATGGGCATATCATCGTGTCGACGACGACTGCTGCTGCTCTTTACGCCGCAAAGGCGCAAAAGTTACCCAGCCATTGACACAGGAAAGCCACCAAGACCATATCGTAGCACAAGTTGTCACTTATCAGCAAGCCATCAAGCAGCGTACCTGCAGACGGCCTTCCTCCTCGCCCAGCTTGGCATCCAACTCCGTGATCCGAGCCTTGCGTTCCTCATCGTCCTTGATGCGTCTAGCATCCTCCACCGACCGATCTTCTTTCTCCCTCCGGCGGCCATCCTCCACCGCCAGTCGTTTCTTTTCATATTCGATATTTTCCTCTGCAGGGGAGGGACAGTGGAAAGTATAGGACATGTCGTTATGTAGGTCATGTAAGCCTCGCCCCTCGAAAACAAGAAAGCCACATGGAAAGGGAGAAAGAAAGAGCTAGTAGAGGCGGAAGATGCAGAGAATGAAAACCCTTCTCCTACTCACTCTCAGCGGCACGCATCAGCTGTTCACAGCGCTTGCCAAGGTTGTCCGCCGTGCAGGAGCGCAGGAAGTAATCAAATCGAAACCGGTCGCAGCGACGGATGGCCATGCGGACATCCTCCCAATTGCCGTACCCGTAGTGGTTTGTAAAACAGAGGAGGTACCTGAACAGCAGAGTGGCCCGAGAGAGACATGGGAGTGACAAAGAGAGTGTGAAAGCTCTGTTCAAGAATACTAAAAGCTTTCTGTTACAGAATACGAAAAGCTCACGACACCAAGTAAACCAATCACATCCAAGCCTTTATCGGCCTCCTTTTGTCCCAGAAATGGTTGTCTATCTCTTTCTTCCTTGTCTTCTCCTACCTATCTTCCTCTGTGGAGTAAATGCGCTCCTTCCCTTGCTGCCCGATGTAATGGAATGAAAGCTCCTCCCAGGGGTTTTTGAAACGGGAGAGAAGCTGTGGATCGAAAATGAGAAGGAAGAGGGAGAGTCCGTAGTCAGAGGGGATCATGCAAATGCAGGTTCCGTGAGCTCGAGACGAAACCGAAGGAGACAGCCTCTTAACGGGACGACTAATATCACCCCGCGCATTCCCCATTCCTCCTCCTTCGCATTGTCCTCGCAGTTCCCATCCTTACCTCCTGTGTTGCTTTGGTCAAGCGAGCAATCTCCTCCAGTTTTTTTTCCCCTTTCTCAATGGCAGTCACCACCTTCTTCCATTCCCCATCACTCAGAACCTCCTCCCCTTTGCGCCAGAACACCTCGGCGTATCGCTGCACTTCCTCTTCCGTCTTGCCAATCTCCCCCGCAATCTTCTCGTACGAGGTCCGGCCATACTTCGCGCTCGCCCGACAAAACAGGTTGAAATGATTACGGCTCCAGTCCCCAAAGCCTTCGCTCAACAGTCGCGCCTTTTCCTCCGCCAAAACCGGGGTCAAGAGCTCCCACTCGGCGGGGTCACTCGGGAGGGCGTCGTTGTTCTTGAGCTCCCTATACCGATCTTCTTCCATCTGTGGGGAAGAAGTGCGTGGCCAGAAAGGATGGTTTGACGCAAGGTGAGAATGGGCGAGGACGACCGCTGCACACACAGGGAGATGGTCAATCTATGCTTCGCTCCACTCTTTCTTCTTACCTTCTGCAGCTCCCGTAACCGCTCCCGATCGTAGAAAGTCCAGACGTCATCGATCCTAGGAAGCCGCAGCTGTTTGGGGAGCTTCATGTGTTTTCCCCTGTTGCCAATCTTCCCATCCACCGCCATACGCTTCAAAAGAGCCCCCTCGTTCAGGTTGCTCTGGGTCGGCCGGCGTTCGCGTTTTCCAATGTCGAACATCTGTAGCTGCGGGAGGCCTGGGGGGAAAGGAGGAAGGATTGGAAGGAGCAAGTGAGGTCCGAGTGAGCTCGTCGTCACGCACACCTTCAAGTGCAGCAAGCTGCCTTCGGATGCGTCCATGAATGCGCCCACTCCCCACTCCCCCCGCTCGCATTTAGTGCTTCCTTACCAGTGAATGTTTCCTTGCCGGGTTTCTTGGAGTAGTCCTGGCCTTCAAAGACCTGCACGGACATGCCGCCGTCCATCCGAAAGTCCAACAGGTCGCCCTTGTCCGCCGCTTTGAGCTTCTCTTCGATTTCGAGCCTGTCGAGAGGGAAGAAGAGGGAGACGAGAGACGTTAGGACAAGGGAAAGAGAGCCAAGGAGTAGGATTGCGGCAGGCAAGATCTCCACCATGGCAGCAGTAAGCAGACAACACCGCGTGCATCGGAAAGGAAACCCTGACAATGCAGCACACACAAAGAAGGCATAACACTCCCCCCAAATAATCCAGAATACCACGTACGTGCGTTTTCGCCCGCGCTCAAGGATCAGGTCGATGTCCTCATCGGTGATGTTGTTGTCCTTGGAGCGGAAAATGACGTCGGCGCCGAAACGGAGGGCTTCCAAGAGCTCGTCCTTGGACATCTTGTCTTTGTCTTGCAGACGGCCTTGAATTAAAAGGTAGGGGAAGGACGTGTCAGGATGGTGGCTATCAAGCTTGATGGTGGCCACAACAGGTTTGAATATAGAGGGGGGGGAAAGCCTAGAGACAGGCAACACAAAAAAGGAGGGACGGCAACGACTAGATACGCAAACGTGCACACACGATAGCAAAAGAAAGGATCGTCGCATGGGTGTCTGACAGAGGAAAAATGGCCCAGTCGAGGGACAACATTCTCTCCATTCCGACCTTGCTGCACCACCATGGCGTCCAGTTTGAGCTTTTTCTGAGCCCGTTCCACGATCTTTTCCTCGATGGTTCCTTGAGTGACCAGGCGATAAATATTGACGGGGCGCTTCTGACCAATGCGGTGGGCACGATCTTGGGCTTGCAAGTCCGCCTATGTTAGGTGGTAACGATTCGACGAAGATATGAAAAGCGAGACGGCGGAGAATTGTAAGAAAGAACCTCACCTCAGGGCGGTGAGGGGCCTTTAAAGCATTATAACGGCACGGGTATATCACGGGTACATAGTTCGTTCTTGTGCAACTTTCCTCTGATAGCCTCCATCAACCCGTCACATTGTCCCTAGTCCTTACCTGCGGGTTCCAATCCGAGTCGTACAGGATGACGGTATCCGCGGTTTGTAAATTGATACCCAGACCACCCGCGCGCGTGGAGAGAAGAAAAGCGAATTTGGAAGAATTGGGGGCGTTGTAGGTGTCGATCAGGTTTTCACGCTCCTCGTACGACGTGTTTCCATCGATACGGCAGTAGCTATGTCCACGCATGTACATGAAATCTAAGATACGGAGAAAGAGAGGGAATGAAAAGGTAAATGTGGGCGACTGGGGACAGAAAGGAGGGGCGAAAGGGCGAATGCGCACAGAAATGTGGAACGAGGGACATATGACGGCAACAAAGAATGAGTCGTAGGACAAGATGAGGAGCTAGTGCACGTATCTAAGAATGGAGGGGGGAAAGGCGGGCACTCACCCTCCAAGATGTCCAGCATACGCGTCATTTGACAGAAGACCAATACCCGGTGCCCTTTCTCCTTCAGCTTCTTCAACAGCTTGTCTGTAGAAGGTTGGAGAAGGCAATGGTCAGAAACGAGCCATTAAAAAGTGCGGAACACCTCAGACCCATCTCAACTCCCTCCGTCAGTCCCTCCGGACCTACCCAACAGGTACATTTTCCCGCAATTTTTGATCACGTGGTCGCCAAGGGGGTCCAAGGTACGGTCCTCCACCCCTGTAAAAAGATAGGGGTGGTTGCAGGCTTTGCGGAGCTGCATGACCAGGTTGAGCACGGCTGTCCGCCCCGCGGTCTCGGAGCCCGCGATAACTGAGAGGTCACGCTCCAGGATTTTCTTGTACGTGTCGCGCTGGTAAGGAGGGAAAAGGGTATATTATTCATACGTATATAATGGAGAAAAGCACAGAGGAAATAAATACACACGTTTCCCCAGGCACTCTGCAGAGGATGCAGGCTACCAAAAAATGAGAGCGTGCGCGGGAGAGAGGGAAGACGAACATACCTGCGTGGGCATCATTTCGCAGAACACCAGAGTTTCCGTCTTCTTAGGGAGGCTTTTTTCCACATCCGCTTTGAGCCGCCGCAACATGAAGGGTCGTAGGATCTTGTGCAGCTGTGTGATGAGTCGTTGTTTCTGCTCTGCGTCGTCGATCTCCAGATTGAACCAGTCGTCAAACTGGTCCGAGGAGGAGAAGACGTCGGGGAGCAAAAAATTGAGAAGGGCCCAGAGCTCGTGCAGGTTGTTCTGGGGAGGGGAGGGAGAGAAGAAGGGAGGGAGGAGCGTTGGTGAGCGGGTTGACTGCGACCTTGTGCTGACATTACTGATGCGAATGTTTGTAGATGAGAAGCTAACCACCATTGAAAACGAAAGAGGCCAAGAGAAAGAGCGGGAGAAGTGGGAGGCAGAATGGAGAGAAACGGGCCGGAAGATCTCGTCCATACTTGCAGGGGAGTCCCGGTGATGAGTAGGCGATGCGCCGTCTTGAGCATGCGCACGGTTTGGGAGAACTGGGAGGCTTCGTTCTTGAGCCGATGGGCCTCGTCGATGATCAAGTACTGCCACGCAAATTTGCTCAACGCCCCCTTCTCCAGGTTGCAAATCTCGTACGTGGTCAACAGCACGTCCCAATCGCGCTCAGTACCGGGGCTCAGACGCTCCGCAATCAAATCCGCGCGTTCGTCCTGGCGGGCAGTTGGGGACCCAATAAAGGGGAGGGGAGGGATGGAAAGAAAGGGAGACGGGCGCAGATATCACCAAATGAGTGTGACACCTTGGAAGAGCACAAGGTCCTTGGATTATAAATGGTACCCTAACAAGGCGCAAAAGCACACGAATCACAGAAGGTAGCTCAGCCTCCACACTTTTCTTTCCTCCCCCCCCCCCTTTGCTCCCTCCTCCCCCTACCTTGCTGCCATGAAAGCGCAAAACCCGGAGGGAGGGGCACCACTTTCGAAACTCATTGCACCAGTTCGAGAGCGTGGACTTGGGAACAAGAATCAAGTGCGGCCCCGTGGTATTCAAGAATTCCGCATTGTATGCCAGCACAGAGATGGATTGGAGGGTCTTGCCCAGTCCCTGGAGAAACAGGGAAGAGAGTTCAGAGAGAGAGAAAAGAGGAGTGGGGTGGGCGGGGAGGATAGTGACATGTCAGAAAATGGCCGTGTGCCGGCATCAATAAGGAGTCACGATTGTAATGAATCGGCTTGCCTCTAAGGGTCCCCAACCCCCCGGCCCTCCCCAGGCCTCCCGTGCCGTTGCACTCCCTCCTTACGCACCATCTCGTCGGCCAATATACCGTTGATTCCATTGTCTTGCAGACGTATCATCCAATTTAAACCCTCCAACTGGTACGGCCGGAGCTGGCCGTGCTTGATCGAGGGAGGCTGTGCCAAGAGGAAGTGCGCCTCCGGGCCCCCCTCCATGTCCTCGTCCTCGTCCGCCGCTGCGGCACGGCGGTGCTTGGCACCAACTGCCGAAGTTCCACTGCCTTCTCCCTGTTCTTTTTTGACCCCAGCCTTCGTTGTTTTTCCTCCCGTGAGACCAAAATGGGTGAAAATATCGGATTGTCGCAAGAGGAATTGCAGCCTTGCCTCCGCTTGCTTGGCCCGCTCCTCTGCCAGCTTGTGGTGTTCCGCGTCCACCACCGCTTGTCGTGCCGCCCTTTCGGCCTTGATGGTCTCGCGCTCTTCTATCTCTGCCGCGCTCAATTCTCTCTTTTGACGGACCTGCACGACTTTTTCCTCCCTCTCCTCCCGTACCCGCATCCGGCTCTCGCAGATGACATCCTCCCTCTCCCTCCGCCGCCGTGCCGATTCTTCGTCCAGCAATCGGTCGCGCTCCGCGCACTCTGCATCATAACGTGCCCTATCCTCGGCGGCTTTGTTGTTATACACCGCACGGACGTCATCCGCCAAGCTTCTCCATTCGCTGGCCACAACTTTCTGCACATCCCCCAGGCCCGAGGGCTCCCCCTTTGCCTCCAGTTCCTGCCGAATTCGTCCCATGTTCTCGCGTTGGTAGAACAAGAAAGCACTAGTGGCTGATTTAATTACTTTCGAATCAGCGCCCCCGCCAGATCCTTTCTCCCCTTCTCCGGAAGCTGATGCCGGGACCGCATCTGCTTGAGGGGATGGGGAAGCAGCAGTGGTAGCACTCATTGTCCCGTGCTGTGTATAATGGAAGGCAAATAAGAAGGATGGATATGAGTGAAATTGTACGTGCTCGAATTCATGCTTTATCTTTCTTCCCTCCCCCTTTTTCGTGATCGCATGTCTCTGTTCACGGATGGAAAACCGACATACTGGTACATGGCAAGGAGGCATAATATACGCCTGGTTGAGGACGTGTCTGCATTGTCAAGTGAAGCAACGTCAAAGAAATGAAAACAGCACGCAGGGCAGGCCGAGGCCTGGGTGCACGCATCACAAGGCAGGCAAGCCACTGGGAGGGCGTGGAGGAGAATGCCCGGGCCCGGCAAATGGAGAGCGAACACAGGGGAGGCGAAAATGGTGACGTGCTGCGTGGCCACCTGCCCCAGACTCACGCGACCCGCATCCCATCACGTCCGACTGCGCTGGCCTTCTTCGATTTCTAGCAGGATTTGAAGTGGCGAACGTACTCATCTCTTTTCGATGGCCGTTTCGCACAAGGACGGTTTGAGGGAATTAAAAGGCATTTCTTCCATCTTCATCACAACGGATGCTCGCTTCGGGCGAAAAATGGCGCGAAACCCGGCTTCCCCGCCGGAGGCATAGGCACCTGGGGAAAGTTGATGACATGTTTGCGAAGCGATGGAGAAAAACAATACTACTGTGACTTGGAAAGTGTGTCGAAAGTTATTCTGCCGACGGGATTGGTGCTTTGTGTTTGGTGTCGATGCTCTGGCCTCCACGTTCTACGTTTTCTTCGCCCCCTCTACCTCCTCCCTCCATGTGTCCAGGCCCTTCGAAACGTATTCACGACGCTATTTCTCTGAATCATCCTTTAATTTAAATCTACCAAGCTATGGAAATAGAAATACAGCTCACCGTCATTGACGGCGGGCACAATAATCCGAGATTTACAAATCCCCTGTTCCCCCGTTCTATCACACTAAATGCTTTGCGCGCTCGGTGTTCCCTTCTGCCTTCCTTTTCGTTTTTCTCTTCTTCTTCTTCTGTAAAAATATGAAGGCATTCCCGCTGAGTCCGTTGCTGCTATCATCCATCCTCACTGACCCGAAGTCTCCAGTGACGACCAGCTGAAATTGAAGGCTCAGGATGTAGAGACCCACTAAGCTTAATGCGCTTACGTGCCACATCAATCGTGCATCCATCGGATAATGAAGACCGGCTCTCAGGGACCAAGACAACGTCCATGCACCTAGAAGGGGGGCCACAGCTGGGATGGAAGAGGCAAAAGTGGTAAAGAGAATGGAAAAAGGCCCGGATGGGAGAGGCGACACGAGGCGGAGGAGGGTGGTTGTGGCTGCGCGTGCGGCAGAGAGGGACGCGTAGACCGCCGTGAGGAGTACAAGGTAAAATATCCCGGTAAAGATGTACCTGGCTCCAGCTGTGATGGTGTTGGAGGGTGAAGAGGAAGGTTTGGAGGACATGCGTGGGTGAAGCCCGCAGATGAGGACGGTGGAGGCGACAAAGACGACGGTCGCGAGGCGGAAGGTGCGGAGAGGACGGGCATTGGGTACCCGGAGGAGAGAGGGAGAAGGATAGGCGTGGAGGAAGAAAAGGAGCGTGGGGCCCAAGGAGAGGAGAAGGCCCAGGGAGAGGGGGGTGAGTCCGAGCCCGCCCTCCGGGTACGGGGAGGCGAGCCACACAGGGACCATGGGAAGGAAAGAGAAGTGGAGAAGGGACGTGCCCAGATAAAGCGCGGTGGTCTGGAGGACAAGAAGTAGGGAAGGCGCCGAGGCAGGGGCAGGCTCGCCGACGTCTCCGAGGCTGTCCGCGTCCGAGCGCGGGGGATGGGGCCGAGTGAAGGGTCCACGCCCAGAGGGGTCGACAGACGGAGGTTTTGGCGCGAAAATGTGAGGAGACGTGTGACATGGGTGAGACGAGGGGTTGGGGGCGTGGGGAACCCAGGATGTGGGGCATGTGGTCTTGCGACGTGCGAGGTGCTCCGCAATATGGGCCGCTTGAATGGCCAAGACTAACCCGTCCTCCTCGGTCTTGGGCAACAGCGGCTCTTCCTCCTCCCCCTCCTCCCGCCCTTCCTCGTCCTTGTCTTCTCTAGTCCCACTCTTGGTTCCGTGCCCGCCCTTGAGCTGCCTTCCGCCCAGAGCACCCCCCACCCCCTCCTCCTCCTCCTCCTCCTCCTCGTCTTCTACCTCCCCTTCGTCTCCCTCTTTTTCCTCCTCCCGAAGCACCCAGGCGCCTCGCGCCCGGTCGTAAATGAACTTGTTGGCAACACCCAGGTGCGCCGTCCGGGGGGTGGGGCGCCGGGCCCCCGGGATGAGGGAAGTGGCCGCGGTCACCAGGGAGGGCAGCCAGGGGGAAAGCCGCGAGGGTGCCTTGTGCGGGCCGTTCCCGTGTCGGACGGAGAGGTTGGCGGGGAGGGAGTGTCG